TATATATATATATATATAAGCTGTTATTATTTTGATAGGATGTAAATGTAAAGTTGATGTATATTTAACTTTTTCACCTTCTGATGATATTCTTTGTAAAAATCTTACAATAAAAATGACATTAAAAATGTAAATGATACGCTTCAGTGCATCTTTATAGTAGTTATAAAGTTTGCATACATTTTTTTCAGGGGGGGGCAATATCAATGTCTTTCATGGGCCCCAAATTCCTGGCGGTGCCCCTGCTTCTAGGCAAGGTTCTTCTGAAAGTGGTGGTCCAGCGGTTTATCATTTTGGGGAGGCAGAGTTCCAGGGGGACTGGTGTGCTGTCAGCCTTTTAGCACCAACACTCACACCTAAGGAGGATTTAGAGAAGCCAATCAACCTAACAGGCATGTTTTTGGACTGTGGGAGGAAGCCAGAGTACCCGGAGAGAACCCACGCATGCTCGGGGAGAACATGCAAACTCCATGCAGAAAGACCCCAGGCCAGGAATCAAACCCGGAACCTTCCAACTGCAAGGCGGCAGTGCTGCCCTATATAATCATCACATCGTTATATTATAGACGTTTGCAGATGAGGAGATATCCATGGCTCCAGCTTTATCAAAATATCACACCATGTTCTTAGATCAAGGACGCTGCTCTCATTCATTACCAAATCTTTACCACATGCAAAATAAAGATTATAACTGTATACCTGGACAGAGAAACCGTCCTAATTAGATAAACGTCTGGGGAAAACATCAGTTCTGTCATACAGCGGGCAGGAAATATTAGCGTGTAATAAACTCACAAATCATCAGTGATAATTATCCTAACACTATACAGTTGATAGTAAGAAAAAGGCTAAAATTAAAGGTAAAAACTGATCATTGGGAAGGGAATCATTCAAGCTTGATTGCTTTGGTCCTTTTAACAAAAATGATTCTTGTTTCTCTGTTTGCTTTCAAGAAAAGGTTCAAACAGCGTGAGGTTCCTTTAAGCCTTTTTTCCTGCCAGGAACAAATTTCCTCACTGCTGCTTTGGCCAATAACAACATCTTTGGATTCAAGTGGAAAGCCTTTCTATTGGCTGAACCAGGTGGTTTTTTTAATAAGCATTCCCGAATCGGACTTTCCAGGAGGCCGATCAGATAACGGTGTATTTTGGTTAAGCTGTGTGTTACATAGATATATGAAACAGCTTCAGAGCTAATCAATCCACGGGGCCCTGGCTGTAGCAGCACAGACTGCACCTTTTATTTAAAAGGGTTTTTTTTTTTTTTTTTTCACCTTTTATTTAAAAGGGTTTTT